AAAAAAAAAAAAAAACAAACCAGGCAGAAAGTGATGCATTTCAAGGCCCAAGCTGACTAAAATAAAGAAAAAAACAGGTACAACTACTATATTTACTGGAATCCAAGACAATGTTTTTTTCCCTTCTAATTAACAGCAAGGTGGAAGAAAGCCTTGTCTTGGATTTGAGTACTAACTGGAGCAGGAGGCTACTGCAGCTCCAGGCCTAGGGCAAAACTGGGGCCAAGCTGCTATCTGCCCCGGACAGGGTGGCTCATGCTGCAAGGAAATCACAGGGGAAAACCATACAGTAAATGGGGAGCACCTGGGGAAGACTGCATAGTCTGGGGGGGTGAAATGGGCAGGCAAGGGGAACCCATAGTGTGTGGCTTAGAGGAAGAACAGGGAAGACCACACAGCCTGTCCCCATCAACACTTTACCCAGAACCTGCCCTGCCCACCCAGAGCTACCGCCACTGTGTCTGCCTGCCTGGGCCAAGCCTGGGGCTGCAACTGCTGCCACTGACTACCCTGGAATAAGGCCCTTCTGCAAGGGCTACAGAGCCTAAGATCAAGTGACCAGGGGATGGGAAAACAGGCATAGGCACAGAGGGGGTAGAGAGTAGGAATCAAGACACCTGCCCCTCTACCAACGTTTTTTCTCTGCCTCAACAGTATGGAGGGAAGAATGAAGATAACCCCCAATAATGAGATTCTTTACATGGAAAATTACAATAGAATCTACTTATGGGAAGGGGAGGGTCATCTTAAATTCCAAGTAGTCTTGGACTTGTGTAAATACAATTTTTTTTTTAAATCACATCAATCCAAGCAATCAAACTGAAAAACACTCATCTATGTTTACAAAAATATGTCACTGATCTTTTGGTTTGTTTTGTTTTCATCTTGTTCAGGAAAAAATGGACAGTGTTACTTCATCCCAGTTATATCACTAAAGACTTAAAATAAGAGCCACGAACAGGTATAGTTGCGTCCCTTGCTCATCCTGAGAAAATACTATAGTAGTTTGGAAAAAAAAAATTACAAAAAAAACCCACAAAAAACTCCAAAAAGGGAGGCAACACACACCACCACCACACATGGACATATTTTTGGACAGCACCAACTGATTCCACTGGAGCTACACCAATTTACTTCAGCTGAGAGTAGGGCCCACCAAATTTATCATCAGCATCACTCTCAAACCTCAAAAAAAATTCTGCTGCCTGTTTGAAAAACATCCTGTCAGGTGCAAATCTCAATACTGAAGTCATTATGTTGTCATGCAGCTGATAACAGTAACACATTTCACTTTGGGAACTGGTATGAACAAAGCCATGCTGACAAAAGGAGTTTCTGCTGGTGTAAACTGCATTTACATAAGGGCTTTTAAGAACTAAGTCACCACTGCCTTACTCCTAGTATAAGAGTTTCTACAAGTGCAAAGTGAACAAGAAACACTACCATTCTGGTGTGGTAGAGTACTGCACCCTCTATACTGTGAGGTAAGTAACTACATAGATACAGAAAAACAATGGAGTAAATTGGGGCAAAAGATATGTGAAGACCTTTATACCATCAGTAGACGTTAGGCAACCACAAATATTAAGAAAATAAGAATCATTTTAAAAGACACACTTTCAAAAGTTCCATTTAACTTTATGTACACTTTTTTCACATTTAAGTACATGTCAGATGTAGGCATGCAAAATAAAATCGTTAACATTAAACCCAACTACAAAAATGCAAGGCTATGCTGCCCCACAATATGCCCCATTGTAATACATAATAACAGTGCTTGTGCTTCCTTCTTGATCACAAATAAAGTCATGAAAGACCAGAAGTCTGGAAAACATTAATGTAATAGTCTCATGTTCAATTTACTGCCTTACTCTCAATCAAATTTTTTATTTAAAAGGTTGCATTTCATTGAAGAAATATTTCTAAGGAAAACTTCATAGCAGTAATCATACGTTGACCTTACTTCAATAAACATCAATGTTTTATTTACTCTTAAACTCTACAACCTGAACCTATATATTCAGCAACTGTAGACTGTTTAGGGGGGTGCGGGTTTGGTTGTAAATTGTCTGAAAATTCTACAAGTCTGATCATTATCCACATCTATGGAAATAAATCTTTCCTACCAAAGTATTTCAGCTTATGATCTACTTGTTCTAAGTATTCATTATTCCTGCTATATCACTGGTTACACAACTCACTCAGCTTTCTCTGAATAGATGACCCAAGATTTCAAGATGGCCAAACCCAAAGTTCATGTCATATTGGCAAACAGATAGATTCCTGAATATTCATTACATTTTAAGATCCAGTAAATCTTTTGACCAAAACTTTTTTTTTTATGAATATTCAGAAAAAAGTAGATTAGAAGAGGCTCTAAACACAGGTTTCATTTGCAAACAGTATCTAAAGTTTTGTGGGGAGGGCAGGTTGATGGGGGTGAAAGGAGGCATGTTAATGTGTTACACTACAGCTGTTTTTTTTAAAACCAAAAGCATCCAAGAAAATGAACAAGCCTTGTGACACAGAAACTTAAACGTAAAGTTTGTCTCTAAAAGTTTTCATTTATAGGGATTTCCTTTTTTCCTTTTAAATTACAGCACTTCATTCTAATCTATTTCAGCTGGAATCCACTAGTTAAGGTGTCAGACACCGCTTACTTGATTCCTAAGAAGTACTTTTTACCAAGATGTTTCCTAAATAGACAGAGAAATTGGTATTATTCTGATCTTTGGTGGGAAAGAAATGGTTCTAATATTAAGGATACTTATTATCAGTCAAACTGGTTTTACAGAACTCCAGTTATAAAATTCACATGAACAACTACGTTGAGTTAAGCCCAATAAGTCATCACTAGGATGCTTTAAAACTTAACCCCCTAAAAAATGGAGTCTGGCATTTTGAGGTGGGTTAGGGACTGTGGAACAGACTACTGCTGTCACGTGTCTGACGCTCACAGTAAGGTTCAAAGGCTTTTGAGTTGCTCATCAGCAGAGTGAGGAACAGGAGCGGGCCCCTCACCCACTGTTTTGGCACTGCTCCTCTACCATCTGCATCTCCCAGGCAGTCCCATCAGCACAGGGAAAGACAAAGTAACACATCTCAGCGAGGAAACTCCAGGAGGCCTGAGATGGGCTCCGGTCTGAGGGACTTCCCATGGGAAGAATCCCAGGTCCCCAAATTAATCAGTCAGCTCCGTGCAGATGCCGGGTCTTGAAAACGAACCAAGCCGGGCTGTTGGGAAACCGGAGAGCCCCTGCGCTGAGCAGAAGCAGCCTCAGCCGGAAGAACAAAACCCGTCTGGAGGAAACAGCGAGATCTCCGTGTGGCTGTGTGCGGGCCCCAGGGCAGTCATCCCTCTCCCCGCGCCCGGCCCGGGCTCCCCTTACCTGCGCCCCACTCCGCGGCCGCTCCGCCTGCAACGCGCTCTGCCATTCACCCGCCGGGCGCGGGGCGGCGTCTCCGTAGCAACGGGAAATCCGCTGTGACGCGTTCGCGCGAGGCCACTCCCCCCCCGCGTGCAGCCAGAAGCCCCGCTCGTACTGCGGCGGCGCGGCCCGGCTAGGCCCGGCCCGGCCTCCCGCTTCCCCGCGCCGCTCTCCGGCTCCAGCGACAGAGGGAACCGCGCCGATTTCAGGACCTGAAGAGCGAGGCAATGGCTCGATAAGCACACCGCAAAACCCTTCCACAAACTCTGCTCTCCCTGCCGGTTTAGATGAAGAGGGGCTCTCCCCTGTTGGGAAGTTCTCCCTGTGTTAAGACTTTAGAAGATGTCTTGGTATTCCCCCCCCCCCACCAGTGTTGCAACGTTCCCCAAACTATCAAACCTGGGAGCAGGGCTGGACACAGGCATTGGTGAACCGGGGGCCCAGACAGAAAGGGGGCCTGAAAACGGTAATGTTTATTATCAGCATTATCATCAGCAGCATTATCACTGAGGAAGGGTGGCCAGATACTAAAAGTTAACCGGGGGCCACCAGCAGTCTAGGTGCGTGCTGCTTGGGAGGTAGGTTGGCTGCCCAAGTCACCTTCAGTTAGCCATAAACTCTTAGAGCTACAGGGTAAGAATGCCTGGTGTAACCACCAGCTTTATTTGCTGTTCAGGAAACTATCTGGGTTTCACTGTCCTGCCCAACCTGGCACATGCTGATCCTGGAGTGGAAATATTTCTCTTTTATTAGTGTCCAAAGGAAAAAAAAAAAAAAACCCAAAAGAAAGAGCAAAAATCCCACCCACTAATTTAGTTTTCCCTCAAAACAGTGGAAAAAAGTCCTGCACAAAACCTCTAATAAATGGGGAAGAAGTCTGGAAAGTAATTATAACTATCCCCTTTCCCCAAGGTTGTAAGCAAGCATTAAAAAGCAAAAACTTAACTTTAAACTTTAAAAAAAAAAAAAAGAGTCACTAAAAAACAAACCTCTCTCCTAATACCCCCACAATTCAGCTGAATGGTCCTATTACTACAGTACATGCTTGGTTATCTGATCTTGTGAATCATGGGCGTTTATATTCCTAGCACAGCTAATATTACACTACCCTTGAAAGGATATCATGCATCCCCCAGGATGCTGCAGCAACCTGATTGAGAATCACTAATAGAAACTTCATCCCCAGCATGGGCAGGTGCAGGATTTTTTACCAAGAGTCAGTGGACAGTGGTAGCAACACCTGCACCCATAACTGCTACTCAAAGCCCAGCCACTCCAGTAACCTATATAATCCAAGCATATCCACTACCACCTGGCTTCAGGGAATGGTGTAAGACCCCCTACCCAATGGATAAATAATCTGTTCCACATACCGAGTCTCACCCTGTTGTATAGTGATTAGAGACCACTTAAGTGCCCCACTGCTGACTTTATAAGGAGACTGTATTCCACTTACCCTCAATTCCAAAGCTTCTGAAGTGGCCCTGATATTACTAGATTCTGTCCATTTCAAGCCTGTTATTACAAACAAAAGATGCTCTGCTCTAAGAAACAAGGTAAGGAGCCTTAAAAAGGTGCAAAACACTTACTACGGCTGTCTTGTAGTTAATAAATATTGTTCATACTGAGTTTGGGTAAGTGCATGCTCCAAGCAGATCAACATCTTTCTATTCCCAAATCTCTGCACTTAAAATGGGAGTACACTATACTTCATGTACAACATTACTAAGATCCATAAATGCCGTATTTTAAAAGGTTTTCTTCAAACCCAGTTAGAAACCTTTTTTTTTTTTTTTTTTTTTTTTTTTTTTTTTTT